CACCACACTGGTTTTATGCAGTTGGGAAGATAGAAACCACGATCTTGTGTGTGTTAGGCCAGCATCTACCAACTAAGCTACACTCCAGCCTGGCAAATAAATGTTACAATACAGTGCGGCCCATGCAGCCTGCCTATCTGTTCTGGAGACACGGGTGGGCACAGGCCCTGAGGGACACTCTTTGTTTTCCACCATGGAGGAAGGCTGAGGTTGGTGTTGGGGCTTCCTTGCCAGAGCCTGAAGAGGGGAATCCCTACAAATAACCATGGAAATAGTGCTTCTGAGCCCAGCACCCAGCAGAGCCCAGCACCCAGCACCCAGCAGAGCCCAGCACCCAGCACCCAGCAGAGCCCAGCACCCAGTACTCAGCAGAGCCCAGCACCCAGAACACTGAAGAGCTACAAGTATTTTTTGTTGAAATCTAATATACTTCCCTCCACTGCATACACACAGACACACACACATACACACACCCCTTACTGAATACACACACATCCTACTGCAAACACACACACACACACACACACACACCACTGCATGCACACACAGACACATATACAGACACACCCCACTGCATACATATACATACACACACACACACACACACACACACACACACACCCCACTGCATACACTCACCATACCTCAATAAAGAATTTTAACAACAGACTGGGGGCGTGACCAGATGATGGACACTCTCCCGGCTCTGGGTTTCACCCCAAGAACTGGGCTTGGTAGCACAGGTCTGAAATCTCAGCACTCAGGAAGTAGAGTTGGGGGGATCAGAACCAAGATTACCTTGGGCTACCCTGCAAGTCTAAGGCCAGCCTAGGCTACGTGAGGCCTGTCCCCAAAAAGTAAAATGGGAGAAATCAGAGAAGCCACGAGTGCTGCCTCATGCTTGTAAGTCCCACAGCGAGGAGGCGGAGGCAGGAGACTGCGGTGAGTTTAAGGCCAGCCTGGGCTAATGAGCTCCCAACTCAAAGAGCGAGCCTTTAAATGGCACACATGTGGAGGCCAGAGAACAATGTGGGGAGAGGCTTCTCCCCTCCATCTTTATGTGGAGGAGCCCAGGGGTCTGACCCAAGCGATCAGGCTTCGGGGCAAGGGCCTTTACCTGTGGAACCATCTCACTAGCCTTTTTTTTTTTTTTTTAAATGAACGAAATTTGCCAAATAAACACATCTGTGCAATTGTCACCCACAGAGAGATGTTCTAAACGGTCCCTTCAGGCTGGGCACCCTTTACCGTCAATGCAGTGACCACTTCAACCGCCTGAGTGACAGCAGGCTTTTGTTCTGCTTTGAACTTTCTAGAGTAGAGATTACACATGACTGAGCGGACAGGGTGGCTCAGCAGGAAAAGGTGATTGCCGGAGTGTGCTTCCCAGGGTCCCTGTGTCCTCTGACCTTCACAGGTGCATCTGGGAGGTGCAAGGGCAACACACAAACGGCACGCTAGGTGTGTCTTTCCATGGATGCAGGGGTGTGCCCTTCCGTGGACACATGTCCTCTTTCTTCTTGGACACCCAGAAGGCTCAGCAAGATGGCTCAGCAGGGAAAGGCGCCAGCTGTGAGAGCCAGAACACCCGAATTCGACCCTGGAGCCATGTAAAGGGCATGAGAGAATCCCCGTCACAGGTGAGCTGTACCCAACAGTAACACAGGGTCAATAAAAGACACGGGCGCCGCAGGTCCCCGCTCACAGGCTGGCTGTGTGCATCGTTAGCACTGACAGGCACACGTCAGGCTGTCCTCTGCGCAGCACAAGGGCTTTTGGACTCAGGGCAGTGACTGAGGTGAATCTTTCAACCTCTCTGGGCCTCAGTGTTCACACGTGTGAATCGGGGCTGCGAGAAGGGGGGTGCGGTGCCACACTTCCCGCTGGGGAGGAGGAGTCTGGAAGACGCTCAGGCTCACCCACCTGCCGGCCTAGTCTAGGTGTCAAACTGCCGGCCAGTGAGGAAATGTGGAGAACAATACGTTAAAAACAAAACAAACAAACAAAAACAAAAACAAAAAACCCTGATGCCAACCACTGCTGATGATCCGTCACCACTCAGTCAATCATCAGTCAATTCATTAATTAAAAAAGGTGTGTGCCACCCACCTCTGGCCTCTGTGCATTTGCACACACGTGTGTAACAGTCCGCGTGCATGTGCACACACACACTTAAATGGGGCTACTGTGAAGGCTCTGTGGGTCTTTATCCAGCACTCCACCCTGCAGATCCGCTCTGGCCTGTAGCTCCGGGGGCTTCAAAAGTCCCTGCAGGTGATGAATCTTAATGCCTTCACCTTGCACGCCTGCTCGCACTCGGCTGTCTCCTGGGCCGGCTGGGGCTACTCAGGCTAAGGCTTCCAGTCACACTGCATGCTACTGGCCTTCGAGACCGTGGGCAGCAGAAGTGTCAGGCGCTGTTGGTCGGGAGCTGCTCCCTCCACACATGAGTGTCAGATTCTTTGTTGTGACTTATTTATATGCTTCGTTTCCTGGGGGAGGATTTGACTGTCTCCCAGAGAGCCTAGGCTCACTCTGGAGCCCAGACTGTCCCTAAACTTACAGCAATCCTCCTGCCTCTGCTTATCGAGTACTTGAGTGCGTGTGCTGCCACACGTGGCTTGTTTTGACACGCTAGAAAATCTTAACCCTTCACACACACGTTGTTTGAGGATGTCCAAACGAACGCTAATACTGTGGGGGCCAAGCAGGCTTTAACCAGCTGACGCTCGCTTCCTCCGCTGCTCCCTCGCCTGTCTACACTCGCTAAGCGAAATTCGTGATCACTCGCTGCCCGGCCTCAGCCTGCCAGCGGGAATGACAGGCCTGTGCCTATAAAATGGGTCCCTTTAGAATTAAGAAACTTCAATTGTGTTTTTAACTGTGTGTGTGTGGAGGCCAGAGCACATCTTTTGAGAGTTGGTTTCTTCTACTATCCGGGTCCTGGGACTCCTCCACTCATGTCAGGCCTGGTGGCCAAGCCCCTTTAAATCCCGTGAGCCATCTTGCTGGTCCCTGATATCGATTCTTTCTCTTTAAAACTTCACCGTTTCGTCTTCTGCGTGATTGCTTTGTTTGAATGCAGGCCTGTGCACCGAGTGCCCGCCTGGAGCCCAAGGAGGCCGGAAGACGGCGTTGGATCCCCTGGAACTGGAGTTGCGGCTGGTTTTGAGCCACTACGTGGGTGCTGGGAACCGAACTGAGTCCTCTGGAAGAGCAGCCTGCTCTCTACCTGCCGAGCCACCTTTCCAGTTCCCAAAACTATTTCTTGGTACATCTGCTTTAGAAGACAGGTTCCCATCTCACGGCGCCTGAAACCTGCCTGTACACGGCCTCACTCCACGAGCAGCCCACGCTCACGTGTGTGGTGTCTGGCAATGAAAGAACCCAGGTGCCCATCAAAACAGAAACAGACAAGAAAACTGCAGTTTTCCTTACACAGAGTAGTATACAGCCAAGAAAATGGACCCCTGCAGAATAACGCTTATCAGGGCTTATCAAAAGCAGCAGCACACCACTCCTGCCGAGGAAGGCACGCAGAGGTCACAGGGCAGTGGCTTTAACAGAACCAGCCCGGCGTGGGCCTGTGGGTGGGTTTCGGGGACGCTGTCCTCCTCGAGGGTTCATTCCTCAACCTGCTCATTCGTGTTTTATGTAGTTTTCTCTGTGTTTATGGGATTTCCAATGGGGGGGGGGGCGGGTGGAGATGATCCAAGTGCCCAGTAGGGTGGGAAGGCGGGGGTGGGGCAGGCAACTCCAGGCCGGCAGCCCCCTAGCATGCTGGGGCTCGGTGAGAGGTCTGCCAGTGGAAGCTCGGAAGGCCCCCGCGCCCCCAGCCTTCCTGAAGGGCCCCAAACTGTTCCTCCAGACCCGCATTTGTTCACGCGGCCGCCCGCCCCAGTCTCCAGACCAGAGCCCCCGGCCTCTAAGTTTCTTCCTTCCCGCTGGGCACGCCTCATTCTAGGAGGCGACGCGGCCCTGGGGTGGCGGCAGGGTCCCCTGCGCGGGAGGACTCTGTCCCGACTTCCCCCCGCGCGCCGGGCCGCGCCTGCTCCCGCGTCGTGATTGGTTGCGCGCGTCGCCGGGTGGGTCTTGCTCCAGGGTGCGGGGCTGCGGTCTAGCCCCGGCTCCCGCCGGCCAGCTCCCTCCGCGCACCCCTCGCCTGCGCTCTCCGCGGGGCCGGGGAAGGGGGGAGGCGCCGGGGCGTGCCAGGCTGTGCCGCAGCCGAGCCGCGGCGCCCGCCCGCCTCCCTGCCCGCGGGGAATTTTCAGGACTGCGCTGCTGCAGTTCCCCCGGCAGCCTGCGCCGCGCCCGCTGCGCGCACACACGCTTCCGCGCGAGGAGCCGGCGGCTGCTGAATCAGAGCAGCGCGGCCTCCGCGAGACCGGGCAGCGCGGCCCCCGACCTCCGCGCCCCCGCGCCCCCGCGCCCGCTCCCGCCGCGCGGGGCCTGGGGGAGGGGCTGCCGCGGTGTCAGGAATTTCCTGCTCTTTCCAGGTCTAGGAAAGTCAGCGAACAGACGGGCCGACCCTTCGCTGCCACCCTCCTCCCGTAGCCAAGACCTGGTTTTGGCTTTTCGTTTTTTAATTTTCTTCTTCTTTTTATTTTTATTTATTTTATTTTTTCAAATGGGCCGAGCCCACGCCTTTAGCAAGATGCCAAGCTGACCCGGACCTCGGAGGAATTTGAAGCTTCTCGCTGCGTCCCGGGGAGGGGGGGACGTCCTTCGCTTAGACTTCGCGTTTTGAAGGGGGTGTGCATTGGAGCGTTGCTTTAAAAAAAAAAAAAAAAACTGATCTTTTTACACTATTTTTTTTTTAACTGAAAAAAAATATTTTTTCTGCTTCTCCGGAGTGGGTGGCCGGGGATCGCCTGGATCGCGTCCTCGGTTATTTTTGCCGCGCCCCTCCCCCGCGCCCCGCCCCCGCGCCCTCCTCCGCACCCCTCCTCCCGCCCGGGGTCACCGCCTCTGCCGGCATGTCCCGAGCCGCGCTCCCCGGCTCGGCCGGGCCGTCCCGCTCGTGAGCCCCCCGAGCCGAGGCCGGGCGCCGCCGCCCGATGGGCTGGGCGGTGGAGCGTCTCCGCAGTCGCAGGTGCAGCCGCCGTCCCCACAGCCCGGCCAGCCTGAGCAGCGGCGGCGGTGGTGGTGGTGGCGGTGGCCGTGGCTTCCGCAGCGTTCGCCGCAGCAACAGCAGCCGCCGCGTAACCCGAGGCCCTTTGCTCTTTGCAGAATGGCCCGCTTTGGAGACGAGATGCCGGGCCGCTACGGCGCAGGCGGAGGAGGCTCGGGGCCGGCCGCCGGGGTGGTCGTGGGCGCCGCGGGCGGCCGAGGAGCCGGGGGCAGCCGGCAGGGCGGGCAGCCCGGAGCGCAGAGGATGTACAAGCAGTCGATGGCGCAGAGAGCGCGGACCATGGCCCTCTACAACCCCATCCCCGTCCGCCAGAACTGCCTCACGGTCAACCGCTCCCTGTTCCTCTTCAGTGAAGACAACGTGGTGAGAAAATACGCCAAAAAGATCACGGAATGGCCATATCCTTTGCCCCAGCCCGGGCGGCTGCGCCTCCCCTCCTCCTCCTCTTCTTCCTCTTCCTCCTCCTCCCTCTGCAGGGCTGAGAGGGAGACCTGGGGGCTGATGGGAGCTAGGGGGCTCCTCGGCGGCTAGGGGCTGGAGATGGGCCCCGGAGCTGAGGGAAGCAGACTCCAGGCCTGCTGGGCTGCGGCTGCAGAGTGAGCCTGCGAGTAGTTAGGAGGCATGGGACTCCGGGGAGTGAGTGGTCGCTGGCAGAGACCGAAGGTCTGGGTCCTGGGTCCTGGGTCGCGCGGGTCTCTTCTGATGGAGACCTAGCTGGGCCAGTGCCTGGACCCTTTGGGTTACAGAGTGAGAGAGCCCGCATGAGCTCCACCTTAGTCCCTTCAGTAATAGGACCCCAACTTCTCAACCTGGCCTTCTACTCAGGTGGGCGCCTCAGGCCTAAGGCATGGGGTACCATGTGTGTGGCCTAGCCATGGAGGAGCCGTCCCTCAGCTCTGGGCCGCCAGCTGCATCTGGGGACCGTCCTGTTTGGTGGTTTGGGGAACACCACTTCTGACCCAGTGTGTCACAGATCAGAGCCCCTTCAGCATTATCTTTTGGGGCGTCAAGAAATATAATCCCATCCACTTAGTGAGGCCCATGGCCTGGGAAGACCTGAGGTCTTCAGTATGTTTCAGTGTGAGAGAAGGCCAAAGCAAGGAAGCAAAGGAAATGGCCCTCAGAAGGGCTGCTATAGTGTACTTGGGTTAGCTTCTCATATTCCGGAGAGCCGGGAGGGAGCACCTGGAAGATCGGCCTCCATATGGACATCTTGGGCAGGTAGGCAACCCCCGTTCCATGAAAGACTCAGGCGGAAGAGGCAAAGAACCGTTTTTCCTTGCTGAGGAGCGATCCACACAGTGGCTCTGATTCCATGAAGTCCTTATTTGCTTTCCATAAACCTGGAAGAGGGCTTGCTTAGCATCCGCGGAGATGCCGGCAGGCGCGGGTGGGTAGAGTCGAGGTTTCTCTGCCATCTAAGCATGACCCAGATTCCCGGTGTGTGTGTGTGGGGGGGACGACACACCCTGCTCCCCAGGCTGGCTGGCCACCCTGCCATGCCCAAATGTGCCTCTTGGCTTTTCAGGCTCCAGTCCATTGAGGGCCAAAATTAGCTGGGCTGGTCAGGTTCCCGGAGTTTGCAAGGGGTCTCTAGCTCTTGTGTAATGGGTGGGGCCATCCTATCTCAGCGAGGGCTGGGCTCTCTGGGCTGTTGGAGTTCTGCTCAAAGAGCATGGATGGGTGCCTTTACTTCTGGGGGCTCCAGATGGTCGGTTCCTGGGGCTGTGAAATTATACCAAGAGCAGGAGGTTTTGGAGCAAGTGGTTTACTTGGAGACTGGTGAAAATTAAGGTCTATGTAGTGGAAGGCCTTTTTTTTTTTTTTTTTTTTTTTTTTTGAGGAGTGTCTCCCTGACCACAGTGTTGTCAGTGCTTAAGAGGGGTGACAGGATTTTGCCCCCCGAATTCCTCCTTGCAAAGGTTGGTCCTGAAGGCTAGCAGTGTGTCCTTCTAAATACTGCCAACCCACTAAAATGTTCAGAGAACCTGTGACTTTAATACCCATCCTGGAGTGAGTAGCCGGAGCTTGGAGCATGTCAGGGGTTCCGAGCACACCTTCAGATGGCTCTAAGCGCTGTCTGGGGCGGGGAGTGGTCACTGTGATGATGGGCCTTCTTGTTGAGATGGCTTTTCCCCTTTCTGCAGCCTTAGAAGAGGAGGCAGAAGAATTGGTTAGCCCTTCCGCTGTCCTCGGCTCACCCCCGTCCATCCTGGAGCCTGCAATTCTGAGAGCTCTGGGTAGTGGCTGAGCCCTGGGCACTGCGAGAACACCCCAACCTTGTTTCTTGGCCAGTTCAGGCCTCACTTGCTTCTGGGTAGTTTTGGAATGAGTGTGTGCACTTTCCCACTCTCTGCAGAGACTCTGTTCCCTTTTTGGTCTGAAGAATCAAACGCATTATACAGCCCCACTCCAGAAGGGAGTGTTTCCCATCCCAGGCCTGTCAGTCTTCAAGCCAGGTCATCTTTCACACAGAGCTGCTTCGGGAGGGGAAAACAGGGAGGGACAGAGTTCCTGAGGCTGTTTCGTCAAGAAATTCAGGCCAATGGGAGTTGATAAATAGACTTGTCTGGGAGTCAAGACACTACACAGATCACTAACTTAAAAAAAAAAATCCAAATACTATGGCATTGAAAGCATAAGTGCTTAAGTAATTTCTCTAAACTTTTTTTAAAATTATTTTTGGGGGTGGAGACAAAGGTCTTATGTAGTTCAGGCTGGCCTCAAACTCACTATGTGGCTGACTGTGATGTGAGACCCCACGTCAGGTTTACTCTGCTGGGTGGAACCAGGGCCTCACATATGCTAGGCAAGCACTTAGCAGCTGAGATACATTCAGGTTTTTTCTTTGTTTGTTTGTCTTTTAAGAATAAAGTCTAAGACATGTACAGACAAGCACAAGAATTGGGTCTGGCAGCACTGATGAGTGGTCAACCTCCAGGCCAAAGGACCTCCCTCTTTCCCTTTCGGGTCACATCCCAACAAGATTAACTGAGCTTCCAACCTCCTTTTGAGCCTCATGTGAATGGCACTGGAGCAGCGTTCTTTTGTACCTGGTTTCTCTGTGGGTACCCTTGAGAGATTTTCTCATGCTGCAAGTGTGTCCAGAACGTTACTGTGTGGTGGCCTCTCAGGTGTTTACCCTAGGGGTGTCCGCTTCTGTGCTGTCTGCTGTTTCCCTCTGAGCGGCCCCACCAGTTTCTGACGTGTGGCTCATGGGGCAATCTGAAACGTGGCGTCTTTGCTGTCTGTGGAAGGGAGGGATTGCAGAACTGTGCAGTTGACTGTGGCACCGACTCTTTCCTACACCTGCTAGAGGGTGTGCTAGAGGGTGGAGCCTTGCTTTCTTTCCAGTTTGGGACAGTTTGCCACCTCAGTTCCATCCTTCTGTCTCCCAGTAGCTCAGGAGGGAGGCCAGTGGTGAAAAGAGTTGTCTTGTATCAGGGTAAGGAACTCCAAGCACAATGTACATTGTATACAATCACTGGAAGGTTGATTAGACTGTAGAGAAGAGCTTCCCCACCCCCACCATGGCCTCTGAAGAGCTGGGCTCTGTTGACTCCATAAAGGGCACTTCAGCTTTCCTAGAGCAGTCCCTCATGATGCCACCTGCTCCATCAAATGTCACTGTCATCCTTCCAGGCCTCCTTATGCTAGTGTCCTCCCCTGCACTGGGTGTGAAATTCCGACTCTTCCAGTGCTGAGGCCTGGTCTGTGTGCTGACATATGCCTTGTTCTCATTACACATTGTCCAAGTTTGTAGACAAGAAGGAGCCTGGAGTCACCGTGGCATCAGGGGAGCTGCAGGTACTGGCTAATTGGCTCTCTCCTCCAGCACAGAGAAGTGTGATGGGACACCCCCCACCCCAGAGAAGTGTGATGGGACCCCTTCCCCCCTCCCCCCGATGTAACAGCCATGGTCAGACACTTGGCCTGACCTGAAACATAGAATGGTCTAGACAGTTCTACTGGGATGGAAAGATGTCCTGAGCCATAGAGTTTCTAGCGATTTTGGGTCTCCTGTTGGTAGGGTTTGTTTCATTAAAATGATGGTTCTGGTTTGTCGTTGGCCTTGAGATGTAGCTCAGGACTCTGCCTTTTCATCCAGGAGTCGCTCCCCCTCCTTAGAAACCGATTTCACTATATAGCCTGGGTTGATCTTGAACTCATGGCCCTGATGTCTCATTCTCCAGAGTGCTGGAATTGTATCAGTGTGCTTCTGAGGAACCCTCTCGCCAGCCAGGGCAGTGTGTGGGGTCTCCAGGTCCCTCCAACACACCCTGTTGTCTTTTCCCTTCCTCTTTGAAAGTAGGTTTACCGAGGTGTGATCTCTTTGTAGCAGGCCTTGTCTTCTGTGTGTTTTGCTTGGTGAGTTTTGACAGATGCGTGGGCTACAGAGCCAGTGCCCCATTTGACATACAGAACAGTTCCATCTCCTTAAAATATTCCCTGTTTCTCTTCTGAGTCAGCACCTCATATCTCCAGTCCCTTGTGACCTGTGACCTCATCTCCATTCTGTAGTTTTTCCTTTTCTAGAAGGTTCTAGAAATAGAATCGTGCACTAGCTTTATTCCTTTTCTTCTCAGTGCTATGGGTGGAATCTGGGATCTCCTGCATGGTAAGAGCCCCATGATTGAGCTGCCTAGCTCTTGATTTTCTGAGGCATAGTCTCTTGATTTGCCTGCCTTCTTGATCCACTCCATCCCAGTGCTGGGAGGCAGGCAGCAGCACGGAGCCTTCAGAGGCTGGCTTCACTCAGGTCTCTGGAAGTCTGAATATCATTGGCTTATCCTCTTCCCCCAGCCCACTGGATCCCTGTCTCATTAGGTAGCCCTGGCTGTCCTGAAACTCAGTCTGTACACCAGGCTGGCCTCAAACTCACAGAGATCTACCTGCCTCTGCCTCCTGAGTGCTGAGATTAAAGGTGTGAGCCACCCCACGCTTCAAGCTGTCCCTTTTATTTACTAAGTAGTTCGCAGTGGATGGGCTACAGCTTGTCCCCTGTGTCCCAGATGAAGGACATTTTGGATGTCTCCAATGTGGGTGATTAGGAACAGAGCGGCTGTCAGTGCCGGTGTCCAGGTTTTATTGGGAACACTGGGGAGACAGAGTTCACTTCTCTTTGGTAAATACCCAGGGATAGCAGAGGTGCCTTTCCTGATAGGAGCCAGCTTAATTTTGCAAGAGTTGAGATGGCAAACTGTCCTCCATAGTGACCACAGAAGACCATCCACTGTCTGTTACCTGTCAAACCCCAGATCCTGAGTTTTGCATCACATGAGGCTGCAGGGTGGAAGCTATCAGACACTGAACTTTTTAGGAAATGGGGACAGTGGTCATGTCAGTGCGACATGTCAGTGAGGATGAGCTCAGAAGCTCTGTGCTCACACTAGAAGG